TCATTGGCGAGGGTCTCAGTGGTCTCAGAAAGTGAGTGAGGTTACTGCAAGTCCCATCATCCATCTCCATTTCTTTCCAAATGACACCAGGACGTAAAGTAGGTCATGAGAGGTCTATGTGCCATGTTTGGTCTTGATCAGTCATTGCATGAGGTTTGCAGAGGTCTCAGAATGTGAGTTAAGGTACTGGAAGTCACATCATCCATTGTCCGTCCTCCTCCAAAACTGCAGCAGGATGTAGAGTGGGTCATGGGGGCTCTGTGTGCCAAGTTTGGTCTTGATCGGACATTAGGTGAGGGTTGCAGCAGTCTTGGGGAGTGGAGGTACTTGAAGTCCCATCATCCATGATCTGTCCTCCTTGAAAGTGCACCAGGATGTAGAGTGGATCATGGGGACTCTGTGTGCCAAATTTGGTCTTGGTCGGACATTAGGTGAGGGTTGCAGCAGTCTTGGGGAGTGGAGGTACTTGAAGTCCCATCATCCATGGTCTGTCCTCCTTGAAAGTGCACCAGGATGTAGAGTGGGTCATGGGGACTCTGTGTGCCAAATTTGGTCTTGATCAGTCAGTGGTCTCAGGAAGTGAGTGAAGTGACTGCAAGTCCCATCATCCATTGACAATTTTTTCCTAACTGCACCAGGCTGTAGAGTGGGTCATGTGGACTCTCTGTGTAAATTGTGGTTCTGATCCATCATTGTTGGCAGTTGTAATGGTCTTAGGAAGGGAGTGCAGGTGTTGTAAGTCCCAGCGTCCATGGTGCATCCTCCTCCAAACTGCACCAGGATGTAGAGTGCATCATGGAGACTCAGTGTGCCAAGTTTGGTCTTTATCGGTAATTGGATGAGGGTTGCAGTGGTCTCAGGAATTGAGCAAAGGTACTGCAAGTCCCATAATCCATGGTCCATCCCCGGCCAAAACACACCAGGACATAAGGTGGGTCATGAGAGGTCTATGTGCCAAGTTTGGTCCTGATCAGTCATTGGATGAGGTTAACAGCAGTCTCAGAATGTGAGTGATGGTACTGCAAGTCCCATCATCCATGGTTGCAGTAAGATGTCGAGTTGGTCTTGCAGGCTCTGTGTGCCAAGTGTGGTCTGTATTGGTAATGTTCTGACTCCGCCCCCTCTGGCCTTTTCCTTTCCTCTCTTTGTCATCTCAGAATCTTGGAATTGAGGCTAGCCAATCAGAGACCATATGCAAATTTCCTTCTCATGTCCCCGTTTCTGTCATGAACTCTTTTCTCCACCAGGGGCTCCTCTTGAAGCTGGCCAATCAGAGACCATATGCAAATAGCACCGCTGCCCAGCCAATCGGAATCTTGGAACTTTCAGGCTGGCCAATCAGAGTCCACAGTGGCAGCTAATCAGAACGCTGCCACATACACCATCCTTACTCTGTCCGATACAAACAAACACTCTCTTTTATTATATACTAGCTTGGGGACCCGGCGTTGCCCGGGTTATTNATACTCCTCCCGTCGCACCGCCACACTTTTGCCCTCCACATACAAACTTTCACCTTTATTATATGTATAGATTTAGCCAGCCTCATGTGATGTGAAGCTTAACGAATGGAGAAACACTTTTAGTTTTTCTCTTTCATTTGTGTAATTTTGTAATACTGAAGACAGAGTAAAATAATAATATACTATGAGTAGAAGAGCCCCCAGTGGTGCAGCAGGTTAAAGCGCTGAGCTGCTATACTTGCTGACAGAAAGGTCGGCGGTTTGAATCCAGGGAGCGGGGTGAGCTCCTGCTGTTAGGCCCAGCTTCTGCCTACCTTGCAGTTTGAAAACATGCAAATGTGAGTAGATCAGTAGGTACTGCCTTGGCAGGAAGGTAACTGCACTCCATTCAGTCATGCTGGCCACATGACCTTGGAGGTGTCTATGGACAACTCCGGCTCATTGGCTTAGAAATGGAGATGAGCACCACCTACCAGAGGTGGATATAACTAGACTGAATGTCAAGGGGAAACCTTGACATTTTATGAGTAGAAGAAACTGGTAGATTCACACTTGAGTATTACTTATTTGTTTTGTATTTATTTGCCAAAGAAAACCCTATGAAATTCATAGATTGACTGGTGACTTGAAGGCATATACACACACACAAGTGTTAAAAGGATAGTTTTAATAATATTGGCAATTTTGGGATGAGATGAAAATTAATTTGCTTTCATTTAATATTTGCAGAAAAAGAAACTCAGAATGGCAGTAGTTCAGAATTTAGATTTATCCTATTTTTTCATTTTAGCCATACCATTTTGTGACCTCAATGAAATACGTTTCAAAATGTCATTTTGACTCAGAAGGAAGCCCAACTGAATTTATTGGAGTTTATTCCCACTCAGACTTTCTGCCTTCTACACTGGGCTCTGAAAAATATTGTTTCCACCCCTACAGAGTCATTGGAGGGCTATAAGTGTGAACAGTGTGGGAAGGTCTTTGCCTACAAATACTATCGGGACAAACATCTGAAATACACGCGATGTGTGGACCAAGGGGACAGGAAGTTTCCATGCCATCTTTGTCGCCGATCCTTTGAAAAAAGAGACCGCCTAAGGATCCACATTCTCCACGTCCACGAGAAACGCAGGCCTCATAAAGTAAGGAGAGCCACAGTAGGTCTTCTATTCATACTTTCAAAAGCTTTTGAGGGTGCCAACTGGTTACAAAGGCATTCTTCTGGGTGGCAGGAAAGGTGTGCCCTACTTTGCAGCATTTGAAGTAGTAGCAGCAGCAGGAGAATGCTTTTAAGCATATACAGAGTGCTGCCTTACCTTACATTTGAATAAGCAAGGCATTTGCAACACCTGGAAATCCATGCGTTTCCAGCAATTGCTATTTCGTAAATACTAGAGCACCTGGAGTCAGTATATTTATTATAACTTTATAACTATTATCACACATCTGAAATTTTAGAATTACAGACAGAAGAATTATTAAGTATTTAAACAGAAATGCAGAGAAGAGAATTCTACTCTACTGCCAGTTTTAGTCATGTCTTCAATAAAATTTAATAATTCAAGCTGAAGCGAATAAAAGAGCGATTACTTCAAGTGGCATATTTGAAAGACCAGCGCATTTCTTGAAGGAATTCAGAATTTTTGCAGGGGAGGATTTCTTACAACGGAGTACGATCCTATCCCTTTGTACTCAGCAAGTTACATTGCTAAATATGGCTTGCTGACTTCGGAAGGTCCCAGATATAATTCCAAATGTCACCCAGTACATTTGAAAAATGTCCGCCCCAAACTCAGGTCAGCCATTGCCAGTACTGAAAATATTGCACTAGATGGACCAATAGTCTGATCAATATAAAGTAGCATCCTAATGCTAAGTATATAAAAGTTAATTTCCATGCAGTTGCCTCATTCCTTGCCAGGTTCTCACAGATGAGCAGGATAGAGAAAAGAGATACTCCTTCTTTGAGTTTCTGTACCATAAGAGCAGTCAATAAACAATGGTAAAAATAGCTAGTGTTGACCAGACAATAAACAATGGTAAAATAGTTAGTGGTGCAGTATAGTGTAGTGATTTGGTCACTGAACTGGGAAACAGGGTTCAGATCCCCACTCGGCCATGGACACCACTGGGTGACCCTGGGAAAGTTACATTCTCTCAACCTATGAGGAAAGGAATGGCAGACTTCTAAGCAAGTCTTGCTAAGAAAACATAGGTTGGAAACAACTTGAAGGCACACAACAACAACAAATCTCAACATCCGAATCAATGTCTGTGTTAACAAATATTGATTATTTTGAAACTACACAGACTTACTTTAGTAGGCATAGATAAAACAATAACCATGTGCCAGGTGTTAGTCTTTTGTGTGGGTTTTGGGGTGACATGTTCTTTTACTTTCTTTGAAGAGTGTGCTGGAGGCTCCTTCTTTGGAGACTTTTAAACAGAGGCTGGATGGCCAACTGTTGGCTTGCTTTGAATGTGATTTTCCTGCTTCTTGGCAGGGGGTTGGACTGGGTGGCTCACAAGGTCTCTTCCAATTGTTATGATTCTCTGATTCTAAGATCCAGTGTCCATACATGAATCACTGTCCAGATACTGATTGCACAGAACCAACAGATCAGGACTGTTGCTGCAATTTTGTTGTTTGCAGAGCAGTCTTATGTATGTTCACTAAAACCTTCATCTCAAATGCTACTAGGAATTTATATATGTGTTGTTACAGCTGTAGAACCATTACATGTTTTCTCTCTCATTTCAGTGTAGTATATGTGCTAAAAGTTTCTCGCAGTCATCCAGTCTAAACAAGCACATGAGGGTACACTCTGGGGAACGGCCTTATAAATGTGTCTATTGCAACAAGGTAAGGACAGTCACATCCCAGTGCTTTTTCTTGGGAAGTAGAATGCTATGCTCTGTCTTATGTTTATTTCCCCGTGTTATTTTTCAAAAATACTTCGTGCTCCTATCTTGATGAGTACTCATCTTGTTAAATGTGATACAGAAAACTCAACTCTGTTAAGGTAAAGGTAAAGGTTTTCTCCTGACATTATGTCTAGTCATGTCTGACTCTGGAGGGTGGTGTTCATCTCCATTTCTAAGCTGAAGAGCCAGCGTTGTCTGTAGACTCCTCCAAGGTCATGTGGTCAGCATGACTGCATGGAGCACTGTTACATTCCTGCAGTAGTGGTACCTATTGATCTACTCACATTTACATGTTTTCAAACTGCTAGATTGGCAGAAGCTGGGTCTAACAGTGGGAGCTCACCCTGCTCCCCAGATTCAAACCACTTACCTTTCAGTCAACAGGTTTAAGTGGTTTAAGCCGCCACACCCTGGGGGCTCTAACTCTGTTAACTGTTTATTAATTTAAGATCTGTGGGTGGGGATTTGCTCAAATTAGCTATGTGAACAGAGTGTGGTATATTAAGTTTTTCCAATCAAATTTGCAAACTCATAGTTTTTCCTGTCAAGAAGCAGTCTGACTCAGTACTAACTTGCAACTAATTCCATCTATACCTATAGGGTTTGCGGTTGACTTTTTCATTTCTAATCACTTGGATCTCATTTTTATTCTATTTTCTTCCCTTTCCATTGATTCCCAACAGGCATTCACTGCTTCCAGCATCCTGCGTACTCACATCCGCCAGCATTCTGGAGAGAAACCCTTTAAGTGTAAACACTGCGGCAAAGCATTTGCTTCACACGCTGCCCATGACAGTCATGTTCGGCGCACACACAATACTAAAGACAAGTCTCGCACTTGCACGGTGTGTGGTAAAACATTCTTAGAGCCAGATGAATTCCGGTTCCATGCAAAGTTCCATGCATCGATTCAGACGGCAAACTAGCAGCTGGAGCTTTACTATTTCCGTCTTCCTCTTTGTGTTGCAACTGGATGTTTTAAAATAGTGCTACCTTTTCAACGGCCATTAGAATTTCAGAATCTGATGTTCACCTCTCAGTAAAACAAATCAGCAAAAGACTTTAAAACAATCCTGAGGTGCCATATCAAAATGAAATGCAATTTTTGGCCAACATCTATTCTACATGTTTCCAGTGTCATGCCTATTTCAGATGGAAGTGATTAAGTGCATTTTCCTTGCTGCAGTTATTCCCGTCTTGCTTCCCAGCATATTAGTGGATCATTATATCATTCCACTTGACTCCTTGTTGCTGATATCAAAAAGAAGAATGTTCCTTTGGAAAAGGTGTTATTAACTTAACCTGTTAAAAGAGCAAGGGAAACAATTTGAGAAGCAGGGTTGTTGTGTGTTTTCTGGGCTATATGGCCATGTTCCAGAAGCATTCTCTCCTGACGTTTCACTTGCATCTATGGCAGGCATCGTCAGAGGTTATGAGGATGCCTGCCACAGATACAGGCAAAACGTCAGGAAAGAATGCTTCTGGAATATGGCCATACAGACCAGAAAACAGACAACAAACGAGTGATTCCAACCATGAAAAAATTCGACAACATTGAGAGGCTTTTGGAGGCCCTTTCTAGGTTCAGTCATTTGAAGTAATACCATTTAAATGAATTTAATTGGATTCCTGGGATACTCCTGATGGTGTGTGGGTTGCTGATGGTTTTGGCTGATTTCTCCTTACATCAAGAGAAAGGGAAAAACTGAGAAAACCACCCTGAATGCTGCCAACAAGGGAAATTTCTGGTGGATCTTGGTCCCTTTTGCAAAGAAATGCAGCTGTTTCATAAAGGATGAGTTGAGCAGGTCTCGACTATTTAAAATTTTATTCTGGTTCTTATGAATTCACATGCATTTTAGCTGGTCTATTTTCCTTTATCTTGTCCTGCTACTTTGAGTGAATGTAGGCTATACCACTACCTCCCAGTTTTCATGGCATTAATGTGAGCGGAACTGTAAAAGAAACTTGCATGGGGGAAAAAAGCATCGTCTTCCAATATTGCACTTTTCAGGCTCTGACACTGAATTTCAACCTAAACTACATTTAAAAATCAGTTTCAGGTTTCCGTGGGTGCAGCTTTAGGAAAGACAGCTCAGAAAATAACTGTTCATGCATGTTCCTTCCTTACCTGTTACCTTTCTGTGTATCTTTTAATGTTTAGATTGCTATAAACAATAAAACTGGTTTTCTTGTGGAATTCCTATCATGATCTGGTATCTTTTAAAATATTGGAAACTCCATAACCTATTGGGAATAAGTGCACCATAACCTTATTGGAGCCCCCACTGGCGCAGTGGTTTAAACCGCAGAGCTGTTAAACTTGCTGACTGAAAGGTCACAGATTCGAATCCAGGGAGTGGCGTGAGCTTCTGCTGTCAGCCTCAGCTTCTGCCAACTTAGCAGTTTGAAAACATGCAAATGTGAGTAGATCAATAGATACCGCTTCGGCGGGAAGGTAACGGTGCTCAATGCAGTCATGCTGGCCACATGACCTTGGAGGTGTCTATGGACAATGCTGGCTCTTTGGCTTAGAAATGGAGATGACCACCACCCCTCAAAGTCGGACACGACTGGACTTAATGTCAGGGGAAAACCTTTACCTAACCTTATTAAAAAGGTAAAAATGATGTCACATCCATTTGGCAAAAGAACATGTGGAGACTTCCTTTTGAAAACTACTAGCCAAGCAAAAAGCATGACCTTGTTAGAAGTAAACTTTTTGAACAAGTTATATTCATAAGCATTAATGTAATGGCACACAGGTAACTCAGCTGTTAGACTGAAGAACCATGCCTTTAAACTGCCAAGGATAGAGACATGCCACTACAATATATATATTTGATTAGCAGAGGATGGTTGTTTCTTTGAAGCTGAAGTTGGTCATCTACTCTCTTTTAAAAACCTCTTGTTTAAAACACGCACTCAAGAGACAAAATGAAGTAGTCTTCTTTGAAAATAACCCATCAGGCTTACTAACAAACTTCTTGCATACAGATGCAGGCAAAATGTCAGGAGAAAATGCCATTAGAACATGGCTATATAGCCCGAAAAAACCTACAACCCAGTGATTCCGGCCATGAAAGCCTTCGACAATACATTCTTGCATATATTCACCATACAAGCACATTGCTTATTAGAGTTCAGTTAGATAAGATGCAGTGTCTTCTCTGTGTTGAGTACACAGGGTAGAATACTTAATCAATTGTCCATAGTCTTTAAGTATAGTTGTACTCCCTGAAGTCCATAAGTCATACTTCTCTACTAAAGCCCAAACAGCAACATGCATCCACCTCCACTGAGGTCTCATGCAAACTAAATAACAAAAATGGAGTCCTGTGTCTGAAGCCCCTCCCACACCAAAGAGATATAGTCAAATTGGCAAACCAACATGTACATACAGTATAGGTTAACAATCATACATATTTGCAAACAGTTAGTGGAAGCTTGAAAGGTTGCTATTTCCAACATAAAAAAATACTTAGTGCATATAACAAAGTGCAGATTCACAGAGATCTCTGCCAAAGGAGTATATGGCCCAAAACATTGACACTGAAAGCTGGATCAAAGGGGAATTTAAAAAATTGCTCTATATTGTCCTTTTGGAACTCATATGTATAAAACATTCCCAGGGAAACAATAAAAACTTTGAAAGCTATCATTTCAAGAAGCTATGCTGAAAATTATGGTAAGTGGGAACCAAACGCACCTGTGTATTTCAGCGATGGCAGAGGGCAGGTCACCAAAGGGTTACTAGAAAAAGACTTCATTTGTAAAATAAAAACAACCCCTCTGGATGAGAGGACGATTAGGAATTTTGTTCCTGAGATTGGGAGTGACACAAAAAGATGCTTAGAGATCTAGAATTGTCATTAGAGGCTTGGAAGATCTGTGTTTCAAAGCATCAGATTTAGCTGATATACCAAAGGCAAATGTACCTAGATGGAAATAGCTTTGCCATTGTTATTGAAGCTCTGGTATCTTTCCATATTGTTGTTTCATATGCTGACTTTAAAAATATTTCACTATAGTTCATCCAGTATATGGTCCCAAATGTGGTACATTAGACTGGGAACTAAATTTTAATTCTCAGTGTAGCATACTTTACTTACTTACTTAGGTGATCCCTCGTAGCCGGAGGATAACGGTCCTCCAAGCCTGGTGTTTTGGCAATGGGTTCGTATGTGGACGTGGAGTCCTATTCTTGATCCACGTGTTCTCCTGCAGTGTTTCCAGGTGGAAGGTGGTCCCAGTCAGGGTTGGCTTGATGCACCTTCCTCTTGGCACATTTCTCTCTTTCACCCTCCATTTTTGCCTCTTTGAATTCTGCAACACTGCTGGTCACAGTTGACCTCCAGTTAGAGCACTCTAGGGCCAGGGCTTCCCAGTTTTCGGTGTCTATGCCACAGTTTTTAAGGTTGGCTTTAAACCCATCTTTAAATCTCATAAAATTCACAATGTTCTTGTGAGGAGAAACAAGAAAGAAATCTTTGTATATTACCTTGAGCTCACTGTTGAAAAGATGATAGTCTAGGGCAGTGGTTCTCAACCTGTGGGCCCCAGGTGTTTTGGCCTACAACTCCCAGAAATCCCAGCCAGTTTACCAGCTGTTAAGATTTCTGGGATTTCAAGGCCAAAACATTTGGGGACCCACAGGTTCATAACCACTGGTCTAGGGCTTACTTGATGTTTTACTGACTTCTATAGAGATGGTTTTACTGGGGTTAAGTTACCAAAAAAATGAAATTCTCTGTGAACACATTTTGCCAAGAAAACCTTTTTATAGGTTCATGATAGGATTGCTGTAAGTCAGAAAGAAGGTACACAACAGCAATGTATATCCATTTTAAGGCATCTAAAATAATTTGTTGCTCTTAGTTTGGTCCTCATGGGTCAAAATGAGCTTTTTTCATTACGCTTCCACCTAAACACTTTTACAATACTGGCAGTCCCCAAGTTATGAACAAGAAAGGTTCTGTAGATTTGTTATTAAGTTGAATTTGTATTTAAGTTGGAACTTGTACGTTTTTTTTTTAGTATAACTCCAGCCAACTTCAGCTTTGGACAGTATAGGGAAGGGTAACACCCTGTTATGTTGTCGAAGGCTTTCATGGCCAGAATCACTGGGTTGCTGAGACTTTTCCAGGCTCTATGGCCTTGTTCCAGAAACATTCTCTCCTGATGTTTCACCCACATCTATGGCAGACATCCTCAGAGGTTGTGAAGTTTGTGGAAAAAGGCAAGTGAGGCTTATGTATCTGTAGAATGTCCAGGGTGAGAGAAATAACTCTTGTCTGTTTGAAGCGATTGCGAATGTTGCAATTGATCACCTTGATTAGCACAAATAGCCTTGCAGCTTCAAGGCTTGGCTGCTTCCTGCCTGAGCTACTTTCTTGCAGCTTCAAGGCTTGGCTGCTTGCTTCCTATTATGTTTGTTTTGCTGTCTGTGCCTCTGTTCAGAAGATTTCACCTCACTCTCAGTCCCTGTGATAATTGGATTTTGAAAAATTTGGCTTGTAGAATCAGGGTTTGGTGATAAAGCTTCGGTTTGAATACTTTCAGGAGTTAATTTCACTTTCAAGGGAATTTGTGTGGGAATTTCTCTCACTTTGTGCTGTCTCACTCCTGTTCTTAACTATGAATATTTTGTAAGTCTGATGTTTGTAAGTCAGGGACTGCCTATATATGTAAATGCTTTGTTTCTGAATTACTCAGACAACTTGAGTTTTGAGATAGCAACAGATTTTGGTCAAGTAAATGAACAAAGATATGACAGAAATACAAAGATAAAACTAAATTAAAAACCGCTCAATTTGTATGGCCTCAAGTCATAAATATTGCATTAGTAATTTATATATTTCCAAATATACCCCATATAGAGCCAATTGTCTTATTTGGTTTTTTTTAAATTTCTCTTTCTATCTAT